CAATTAAAAGCAACAGGTTGAGTGGCACACTAAATGGGTATATTGCACGAAAATTACCGGCAACGAAACCGGCCAAGTTAACCTTAAGCGCAATCGTATCCTCCACTTTCTCCCAAAAATCCTTGTATGTTACAGAAATTACAGTTGTCCGAAATATCAGCAACTGTTTCTCTCCACTGAGAAAAAAATTGCCTATGAATAAGAGCAACTCACACTTGCAACAATCAGATCGTTTGTTTTTTATGATGTTTCAATTCTATGTGATGACGGTTACAAATATAAATGGCGGCAACGTTGATGAAGAGGATTATAGATTGTTGTTGTTCATTTACGTCGCACTAGAGCTGCACAATGGGCTATTGGCGACGAGAGGATGATAGAATGAAATTTTGAGTAAATACATAAAATTAAACGAATATCAATTCTTGAGCATCTGCGATTTAATTTTCCTTCCTTTACAAACATCGCTGATAAAATATGAGATATAACAATATTAGCATCTCATGAATAAATAATATTAGCCAAAAGTTAAGATAAGTAACAAAAAATGGCAACCCTTTAGAGTTGAGGTTTTGTTTATGGTTGCTCTTATTTTTCTCTCATGTGATATCCCTATAAATGTAATTAAAATCTGAAGTAGCACATGAAGCATTTGAGTCGCCTCACTTCGTATTATTCCCCTAACTATATCCATTTATTCACTGAATAAAAGCTTCAACTATATTAAAAAATGCTAACAGAAACAATTTTAGTAAAACTTTGATAACACTTAATATTCAGCAAGACATAATTTTTTTACACCTTTTTCAGTCATTTTTGTATAAGTATGAAAATAATTATTATTTACTAAAGGCATCGTATCATAAAATTTTAGATAAACTGTATACACAAAGAGAAAGAAAATAAGACTTAAATTACACCAAGACCTTTATTAACATCTAAGAATTACAGCAAAAATGTTCATCAGGCCACAATATTTCAGTAAAACACGAAGCTCACAAAAGCAGTGTTATTAAATGTGTATTTTGATTGTTGTATTGGGTACCAAATCTGCCAAATCCATCTTAAAGTTAACAAATTTAAGCAAAATGTCAGAAAAACGCAGAGCTATAAGCAGAGAGCTCGCCGTACTTAACTATACTCAATACTCAATGTCAGAATAAATTTAGCCTAATTTGTTTGAAAATTTATTTTGCTAAGATGCTTAGGAATATTCACTTAAATGTTTTAGTTTTTATAACACAATATGAAAGTTTTTTTAATTATAGAAGCTTAACCTTTGTCTAAGAACCAGGAGATTAAAAAATACGGGATGATTGAAATCTTGTTTTCATAACTATTGAATATAGAAAAGGCACATATACAAAAACAAAGGGAAAATGTTTTAGAATTCAGGCATTTTTAATTTTTAAAAAATATGCAACTTTATAGAGACAGATTTTACAAAAGTAAAATAAATAAATAAATGCAAAACTAATGGTTTCAAAATATTTAAAAAATGTTTACACATTTTAACAATGAGACAGCTTTTTCTTTAGTTACAGAAATTTTTTGAAACTTTTTATAATGTTTGGAATTTTAGTATCATTGATAGTTTAGTAGTTTTTCAAAAACAAGACTTAAAACGCCATCGTAAAATGTGAATCTATCAAAGATTTTTCAAAAAACATGCGCTTCTTTAAAATAGACTTGGCACATTTTGACATCCATTACTTAAATTTTTAGCAACAAAAAAAAAATAAAATTCCAGTTACATTGGTAACAGTTAAAAAAAAAAAGAAAAAGAAAGATGAAAAACAGTACACTAAGGAAGATTTTACAAGATCTATATAATTTGTTTAATCCCTAACAATGTTTCCGATTACGTTTAAATTCTTAGTAAAAAAGGAGTTAATAAAATTATTCACACCAAAAATCCATAATATTAAAAATAAAAAATACTTCACAACCCTTAATTTAATTGAAGTTTGAACTTAAGAATAATTTCTGATTAATATATGTGCTTCAATATATAGCATATTAAATTCACAACTTACACTTAAGCAAGGCTCCCAATAGTTTTTAAGCCAAAACAAAAAAGGATGAAAAGGAAACAAAACAGTTAAAAATGTGAAAAAGGGGATCAAATGCTTTCCTAATAATAATTTATTTTAATACAAAAGAAAAAAAAATTAAAATTTTGTAAATGCGAATTTTATTCCCACAAAATTAACTATTTACTATGCGAAAAATTGTAAATAAGTGAATAAAAGCAAAATTCGTTACGCTAAAAATTAACATTAAAAATTAGTAAATTTAAATTTTCTCTCCATAAAATAACTGAGTTCCAAAAAATTCTGTTACAGTGAATACTGTAAGAATTGTATGATTAAAACAAGAGTAAGTAATCTGTTCAAAATTAGGATTCTGAATGAGGAGGTTTTATTGCTACTAATTTAAATAGTTTGTATATGAACATTTAGTTAGATTAGTTAATTAATAACTAATTATATGCAGTTAAATTTCTGATGAAAATTTCAGAGTGAAGATACGCAGTGTATAACTGAACTCTCACGTGATAAATTACTGACCAACTTCACTGAGTTCAATTATTTCTAAATATTAATGGCATTTTTTAAAAAATTTTTGACCATGATCTGAAAATTGAGTGTGTCCTAATTGTTGTGTATTTTTAGGGTATGCAAAATTACAGTGAAAATATTGAATTTTTATTTTAAAACACAGTTGGCTAAATATTAAAAACACATACCAGAAAAAGAAGAGTATAACCCCATTTTTGCGGTGAACTTAAGTATTTCAAAATGGCAGAGGGAATATAATTTTGGAATTTATGCTTCTAAAAAAATACATTCTGTTATATCGTTTCGTCTAAAAAAAATGCTGAAAAAATTTAAGATCATAACCATAAAGTAAAAAATATGTATGAAACAAGCGATAGGCAAAAACAAACTAAAGTTATGTCAAAGGGTACCTATTCGAGAGCCCTGCATAAGAAAAAAGCTTTTAAAATTCAATTATACTAGGTTATAATATCATAAAGAAAAACAATACAATAGGTCTATTTAACTTTCTTATTAACTTTTCAGGAAATGAAAAAGATAATTGCAAGGAAAATCTTTTGAACAAATTAACGGATTTAAAAAAAAAAAATACAAAATTTTTATAATAAAACATAACAGAGCAAAGACATTAAAAAAAAAGAAAAATTAGTGTAAAGCATGTACTGAGTAAGATGATCAGACAATTTAGTTTTAGAATACTGAATAACCTTTTTTTCATGTGCGTTAAGCACTTTTACAAAATGTGATGAATTTTTTCAAGCAACAAGACATATGAATCCGAGTACACTTCTGAATTTTAAGGAGTTATAGTACTGTCCATCTTACATATAAAAAAAAAAGGTCTTAGAAAAAAACAAATTCAGTTTTTGATATAAGTTAAATTTTGTGGTAAAACTATCTCTTATAGTTGTGATATACTTTAATGTGTTCCAGGTATTGAATGACATTAAAAAAAAAACAATTTTCTATACTTCAAACTAAGTTTGGAAAGTCAAAATTATAATAAATATTAAATCAACACTATACAATTGTTCTGTTTTCATCAAACACAAAAACTACATTAAAACTTATGACTTTTTTCAGATAATAATATTTAAAAATCCCATTTTTCCATACACTTAGCATTAGCAATAAATCTAAAGATGGCCAGTGTCACATTCACTAAAGTTTGTTTAACAGATTTATTCCTCTTTTCGTTCTAAAAAAGAAAATCTTACCTTGTAACAATTTAAAAATTCTAACTGAAATTCTAAAACACAAATTGATCTTGATTGAAATGCTGATTGCAATAATTAGACTTATTGATTTTAAGATCATAACAAAACAAAAAAACAGATATTTAAATAGCGACTACTTCTAGAAAAGATGCAAGTTATTTCCGAAGATGCAAGTTTCTGGAAGGAGATTGAGTTACCGAAGGAGTTTATACCGAAATGAAACTACGCACAATGAAATAAGAATTGCATCGATATTGCAATTATTTCTCGGAGTTGTTACTCCAGAGGGAGATTGAATTAGCGAAGGAGATGTTACTCAGACGAATTGACGCATAATGAAAGAAAAATGCATGTAAATTGCGAATACTCCGAAGAGAAGTTACTCCCGCAAGAGTTGTAGTTACTCCCTAAGGAGAAGTGGTTATCAAAGAAATTGTCACAAAGACAAATCTATTTGAATCAATATTTGTTAAGACTTTGTCAGTGTTTGGTATTTTTGTCAGTAAAGAGGGTATTACTGACAAGGAGTTTCAAAATTTTCTCAAGCACATATATGTCATAGATGCCATTGAGAAGTAACCACTTTCTACATTTACATCAGTTATCCTTTAAAAATTATGTTTCTTTAAAAATACATCTATAATTATTTTTTATTTTATTTGGATTAATGAAAATTGATCCAACCCATACAATTATATTCCAAACAGAAAAATTAGGGTTAATGAAAATGGATCTAACCTAAATATTTTGCTAGCAATGGCCACTTATTTTATACATCCGGATATTGACAAACACAATCAGCAAATGTTGTGTTGTCTACTTTTAAATCCAGATATGGACAAACACAATCAGCAAATGTTGTGTTGTCTACTTTTAAATCTTGATATGGACAAACACAATCAGCAAATGTTGTGTTGTCTACATTTTTGTTTGAAGACTCTTCATTAATAAGAAAACATTCTTATGAGTCTTACAGTGGCTTTTTTTCTTTTCACAAGCAGTTAGGGTTAATGAAAACTGATCTATCCCATACAAAGAAATCTGGGATAACGAAAACAGATCAAACCCATATCTTTTTTGCTAGCAATAGCCGCCTATTTGTTTCATTAAATAAACTGGGATAAAGACAAACATGATCAATGAATCTGTTGTCAACCCTTTTCGTAAAAGACTCTTCATTAAGAAATTTATATGTAAATTCTTAGAAGTCTGATGACGGCTGTAGGATAACTGGAATTCCTCAGTACTTACCACTTTATCAGCAAATATTTTAAGCAAAATGCTAATGTTGTGGCTGTGCTATCATAGTGTTAATCATCGTTAAGACTGAAAGTGTTTGGACACAATTCTCTATCAACTCTGTCATTAACATATGCACAACACAATACCTTTTTTTTTAAAATGCTTTCCAAATAAAGCATCAACAAACAATATTATTACTGCAATTTACATCATTATCTATCACAAGAGTAAACAATTGCTATTTGTAACATCTCCCTATAATTGTCTCACAACATTACTCTGTAACAATGTTTTCCTTGAGAACGTTATCCGTGAAGCTGTTGCTGCCACTTTTATGTTGTTGTCACAAGTGTCTTGATTTAATGCAATCCACAAATTGTCTCATCACCTTACTCAGTTATAGATAATACTTAGCAATTAATAGTAAAACGTATCATTAACATCATTATTCATGTATCCTTATTCATGCATCATTAACATTATCAATAATAATAAGAGCAATGCATCATTAAGATTGTAATTAAGTTAGATACACATATCATCATAATGATAAATACTTGTAACATTGCCAAATAATTCCCTCATCACCGTTACTCAATACATTTAGCTTAAACTATGTTGCATATTTTTATTTTATTCATTTTTTCATTCGAAAGACATAATCGTTAACTTTCGTTAATAATCGTTATCTTTTCAATCTTTTTTTTTAAAAACTTTTATACATAATTTCCTTTTTTTCTTATTTGATAAGAGAATAGTGATCCATGGTTAAATATTTAAACCAAAAATCTATTTCCATTAGTTTCTGGGACTAAGTCTTAATGAGAAATGGATTTTTGGCTGCAAAACATTGTATATTTTAAATTCTACAGTCATTATGACTGTAGAAAATAAAATATCCGGGCAATACATAAATATCACCTCCCGTCGATTCAATCTTATAAACATCATATTGATCATTTTCAGCTCTATTTTCCAAGAGGAAAATAAGGCAGCCACTTAATTCATCAATGCAAACATTATTAGAAAGTAACTTCCCAAATAAATCCTTATTCTCAACAAATATACCAGGAATCGGAATTTCTGAAAGAAAAGAAATCAAAATATATACACAAATAATGCAACTAAAATTTTGACTCTATTTAAAGAAGCACATGAAAGTGAGCTGAAACAAAGTTACTTTGAAATATTGTAAAGAATATTAATTACTTTAATTATAAAGCGAGTCATTGAGAAAATACACTAACAGGGTGCAAGAATCAAGATTTTCAAGGCTGAACTAAGTAAAGAATACGTGCAGAGCCCCAATACACATCAAAAGTGTGGTTGAATTTAAATTTATCACTTAAAAATTAAAGTTAACAAAAAAAAATTTATTTTAACAATTCTTTATAGGAATGGCAAGTTTCTTTCACAGTTAAATAAAAAATTGAAAAAACTCTTTTAATAAATAAATATTTATTATAAGTACAATTATTAAACAGTTTAAGTAATAATTTAATTTCCAAGCTATTTAATACAAAATTTTTAAATACCAATTAAAAAGTAACAATTAGAAATTTTTTAAAAAAAGGGATTTATTATGAAATTAAGATAAATTGAGTTCGCTAATATTTTACATACACAAGTATAGAAAAACATTTCACAATTATATAAAAAAATTTAACAAGTGTGATGATCAAATTTTATTAATGCCACTTAAATAACTTATAATAACATAATATGCATAAACATACACTAAGATAAATTACATATTAAATTCATATTTACAAAAGACGTACTAATCTTCATAATCAAATATTGTTAAGTATGAATACTCAGACTTAACTTTTAGAAAATATATTTAAAAATTCTGCATAACACTAAAATAAATAATAAAGAAATAGTTTTTTTTTTTTATAAATGAAAAATGAGCGTGATAAACTTTTCACTATCTAACACTAGATTAAATTTATCCTGTTTAAAGTTGATTAGTTTCCAATGAAATCTCATATCTTTCTCAGCCTAATATTTCTATTCATTTTTTCTATATGGCCCAGAAATGTCCAGTGTCTTAATTTAATGCATTGAATGCTTTTAATCATTAATTAAATGGTCCAGTTCATTATTGCTTTTAATTCCTTACTATGAACTGTTGATTTGAATTGGCCAAAAAATTCCTATTTGAGTTTTTTTTTTAAACATTAATTAATTTTTATCTACTTTTTTTAAGTATCTACTTTAATTTTTATCTACTTTTTTTAAGTCTAAATTCAGGTTTAACCATAAGTTACTATAGCCCTCATAACTAAATGCTTGGTGCTTGGAAGATTAAAGCAAATTAACATAAATTTACAAAGTTTAATTTTCACTTAGATACCCTAATTCAATAAAAGAAACTACTTGAAATAATACTTCTTAAAATATTTATAAGGTAAGAAAAATACAAGTTGCTTATTTTATTGGATTCCTTAATGCTAGCAAAATCTAAAGAGAACCTCTGATAACTAACAGTTCAGATATTAAACCAAAAATATTCCAAGTTATCAATTTAAATTTATCATTTTATAATTAAGTCAAAAGTTTCAGCGTTGTATAATTTTTAATTTAGTACCATTACCTAAATGCCACTTCTTTTATTTAATAGTGAATTCAAGCATAATTTTATTAATACTGTATAAAGAATTAAGTAATATATGCACCTTAAAATTGCGTTAAATTTGACTTTTGTAAACGCTAACCGAATAGATTTTTGTGTTATTGTTCTGATTACTGACAATACTTTGAAAAGTTGAACACCTATGTTTAATAACAGACAATTTTTTTTATACATTGTGCCACTAGGCACTAATAGTCAAAGGCTCTATCTACAGCACTATAGAGTAAAAGACAAGATTCTAGTTATCTAGTTTACAGACTAAAATTAAACAATTCAGTATTCTAGTTTTGAAATTATCACAAACATTAAAACTAAATTTAAAAAAAGATTTTTAAAAAAGAATTAAATCTAATAAGTTTTATTTTTAAGCAGTCCTTTAACTCTGATTTGATGTAACAAATATTCATGAACATTGTGTACATTGAAGTTCAAAGAAAAAAAAAAGAATGGTTGAGTAAAAAATTTACCTGCATTTAATTCTCCTGGGAGTTTTATATCCTAGAACAGGAAAGAACATCAGTTAAGTTTTCAAACAAACACTCTAAGTTAAAGGTTTTACTTTGTATTCAAAATCACATTTCAATAAATTCATAATTATTATAGCAACACTTTGAAAACAGACATTAAAACATATAAACAGAAAATTTATAAAAAATAAATTAAAATTTAAAATAATGAATGAAATTCAGAAATGTTCTTTCTAAATGCCAAGTTTTGAGCTTCAGTCTTAGAATAAAATATGGCTCTCCCCATAACCTTTCATAAGCTCAAGTGAGTAAGTAGGCGTAAATTAAGTAAGTAAGCTTTCTAATAATTATTATTATCAAATGAAAGTGCAGGAAAAAGAAACATACAGCATCACATTAAGAAAGATTCAGAATGAGTTCAGAATATTATTTTAAATGAATAACAGATATTTTTAATGAATATTTTTTGTATATTATGGCATAGATTTTTTATTATCTAGATCAGGGGTTTCCAACTTAAATGTGGTCGGAGGCCGCAATTAAAAACACCAGCCAAATGGCGGGTCGCAGCTTTATCAAAATTTTATATGGGACTCTTTTATGTTTGAAGGAACATTAAATATTACTGTCAGATTTTTATCAAAGTTAAGCAAAATAACATGCATTACAGATATTGTTTGTTATGTATCATTTTGAATCTTCTTTTAATCAGAAGCTTAGTGACAAGATTTTTTTTTCTTTTGAATTTAATTCTGTGATAAATTAAAAAATTTTTTCGATTTATTAGAAATTATAGCAACAAAAAAAAAATTCTCGTGCACCTGAATTTTTTTTTTCTTTTCCGCTCATGCGATATTCAATTCAAGGAATTTAAATAAAGCCATGATACTCATTCCCTCTTTTATGCGTTTTAAAATTTATAACTGTAAATAATTTCGTCCAAAATGAATGGTTTCAAAAAGTTAAATGGGAGAACTGCTTCGGGAAAATTTCTGATATGCACATGCTAAATTTTATTCACAAAATACAAAAAAAAAATAAATAAATAAATAAATAAATATGACCAACATACATGATTATTTTTGTATTTGAATATTTTGCAAAACATGAGAAATAAAAAATTTTTGTACCGTTGGTATGTTAAATTTCAGAGAAACGAAGAAATTAGGTTTTCTTAAACAAAAGAAAAGTATTTTAAACCCATATAGATTTTTTACGAAAATTGACCTAAAAAAACGCAACTACAATATTTAATTTCGCGTGAAAATCCCATATTCAGGATTGCCACAGAAAAAAAACGAACAAAATAGTTGATTTTAGTAGCCTAAAGTATGAAAATAGTAGCCGAAAACTATGAAAATAGTTGCCTGAATAAAAACAAAAATTCATCAAAAATATGACTAAAATTTTGTTAATGACTTAATTGTCATATACCATGATCCATTTAGTCAAGTTGGTGGCAAATATGTTAATTTTAACTTTTATATAAACGTTAATGTTCTAGCATTAGTTTCCTTTTTATTAATAATTAATCTAGGAAATATGTATATATATATATAGTGAAAAGTGATTTGTCAATTCGAAATTCATGCATCATAATACATTTTTAATTTTTTTTTTAAAAATCATGCGTAATTTCGTAGCCACTGAAATAGAACCATCGAAAAGGCGATCGAGAAATTAAATAGACTTACAATGGAATCTGTGCAGATTGAACGAATTAAAAAGTGAAGACTCAAATTTGCAATTCAAAATTTTCAACATTTATTTTTAAGAAAAAAAAAGCTCAGTGTGTTCGGAAACTATTACGGGCTGTAGATTTTCAACCCAAGTCATGCTAAAAAAAAAAAAAAAACGCTACGGCAACAAAGGGAGTACAGAAGAGTCTCCCAATAGTCTCCTTTTCCTGTGAAAATAGTTGCTTTTTCAGCCTTTTCAGGCAAAAAAAGTACCATAGTCGCCTCATGCCTAAAATAGTTGCATTTTAGTCGCCACTGGCAACCCTGCATCTTCAGAGCAAAAGTTATATAAATGTTTCATATTTTTTATTGCGCATAATACAAAAGTCGACTTTTTAAAACGAAAAAAAACTTGAATTTTCATCAAAATGTCAAACATTTGGATGAAAAATCCGAGAGAGCTTATATTTTTCAAACTCTAATTTATACATTGAATACTTTTTATAAAACAATGCTTTATGACATACTGAAGGCTCCCAACAGATTGCAGAACCGGTTCCAGCAACATTCTGCTCCCACTTAAACTTATAAAGCGTCACCCCTATAGAAAAACAATAATTTAAATGACTAAGCTATATCAATTCAGACAAGTATGTAATTCACAAGGAAATCAAACACTTAATCAGAGTTAATAGTGTAACAGTTTATCTCAACAAAAGTGTCTACTTAGTGAATCTGTTACTTCGTTACATTTCAACTGAGTTACCTATTTGTTACAGTTATTTAATTCATACCTTCTAAAATAGAGCTCACTTATAGAAAGTCTGCTTAACAAGATTCTGGATTCAACAAAGAAAATTAAATGTATGTTTTGGTAGAATGTCATGAATGCATCAGAGTGTATTTTTTTTGCAAGAAATTTGTTCACTTTTTCTAGAATGTAACAAAGGAAATAAAATCTTAAGACTAATTTGAAAAATAACGAAAAACTTTTTTTTTTAAAAATTAAATAAATGAATAAAGTCAAGATCAAGTGATTGCCTAGCGACTTGGAAACTCAAATCATGGAGTCATAATAAAATCTTAAACATTTTAATGAAGGCATAAAATATACCGATGACAAATTTCATGTATTAAATGATATAAGCAAAAAATTAAAGGAAACAGAAGTTTATGATAACAATAATCTACAAGAGATAAGTATATTCTTTAGTTAAGGTGATTTGAAAATCATTCACTACCAGAAATAAGGCATGGAGTTTTTCAAAAAGATGGAATCACTGTTAACATATCTGATCGTTTTTATTTGAACAGCGAACTAATGAAGTCAGATTCGAGGATTGACCAGATTCAACAAGCATTTCCCTATTTTATGAAGTCATCATTCAATATGAGTCCTAAAAAAAGTCAACCCCAAGAAAGAACAAAAAACTAAGTCAAAGTTGAGATCTAGTACTTATAAACAAAAACAAACTCAATGTTATACATTGTATTAGCTGTAATGTAACACATCATGTTTACGCTATCAAATTTAAAGGAAGCGATTAAACACATTTAATAAAAAATCTTGTGCAGTAGAATCTGTTGATTTCATATTCTTAGAACCCAAAATAATTTAAAACACAGTTTGTCAAAAAAACTATATTTCAAGCTTTGATATGAAATAATACCCATCATTAAATGAGATTAGTGGGGTTACCTGTATAGATTTAGCGAAATTCAAGGGGGCCACTTTTTGAAGGACAATATTACAATTAGATCCAATCATACAGTATAATAGCAAAACAATTAGAGAAAATAACAAAGCAATTACCAAAATTTACAAGTGCAGTTCTTTAAATCACCTGACCAAGCTTTTCAAAATATTAAAATTCACTAAAATTTAATTTTAACTATAATTTTCTTAAACAAAATTAAAAAAAGAAAAAGCAAAATGTTTTAAAAACATAAAAGAGCATTACAAGTTAATGACAATTGTCAAAATTTCATGAAGTATAAAATGTTGAAATTTTTTAGAAAATATATATATATGTATAAGAAATTTGAAATGGAGTTACCCTTCTCATTGGAAGAGTAAAGAAAATTTTCAACACTTTCCCATTCTAAAGGATTAGGCAAATTTACATTCCAAAAACACTGATCAAATTCATCACTTATATTTTCATCAAGACTTCCATAACCTGATGATGCTACAGAACATGGAGAATTGTTTCTGTCATCTGCTATCTCAAAATTTTTTGTTCCGCTTTTATTATTTGGCTTTTTCCTCTTATCTAATACAAAAAGAAAGAAAAATAAGTAAAAAAGAAAAAGAAAAAAAGGTTAAATTCTAATCCAAAAGATCATTTATTAGTATAAGTTCACAACTATCAAACATATTTTTTAAAAAACATTCTTTTTACTTGTGATTATCTGATTTGATTAACCAGATCTGTTTATCAATATATTCTAAGTAAGCAAATTTTTTTAATGCTATCTTTACTTGATTATTGAAAACCAAATATGTATTTAATTCATTTTTCTTTGCATATCAACTCAGTTTGGGTACAAACAATGTCTATACACATTATTGAGTTCGGGTTAGACAAGGGGATCACATTTTTACTTGGTAGGAAGCAAAAAACGTAATCTGCTGTTGATGGGAAATTTGCCAAGTTTTATTTGGGAGTTTTGCTGCACACGTGTTTTATGTGATTCTATATACGATAGTTGTTGAATTTACATAGCAATAAGAGTTTTAAAAAAATGGGGTATTCCTTTACTGACGTTTGAAAAGTATCATTTTGTGTTGTCCCTTGTTTTAAGAACAATCATACAAAGACTAATATTTAACTTATTTCATTTGCCTGAGACAACTTGAGATAGTAAACTGATTTTAAATTAAATGCTTCTTATGCATAAAAAAAAATTCAAATTTCAACTTAAGACTTGTACATTATGTTTTGTTTTAGTTCCTTGTATTTATTAATAAAATAAAAAAATTTTGATTTTTTACATTTTTTTTCTTCTTCAAAATAGTTAGTAAGGGAAATGGTTAAAGTTTTCAAGATATACCTTATTTAATTCATTTTGGTTGAGGTAATTGAAGATCAATTTTAGATTGCAAGTTTACAAGCACACATGCTATAAAATCAATAAAAAAAAATACTTATAGAACATTGAAATAAGCACATTTGATAGTTGTTAGCATCTCAAGTTGGAAAATGGTTGCAAGCATAACAATATGAGAATATCAAATCTTTAAAAACAAATAAATAATAAAGTACCTTTCAAAAAATGCTGATTGCAAAAATATATTAGAGAATAATTTAATCTGAAAAAAATGAATAAAGAATCTAAAATACTACACACCCCATATCTTAAATTGTGACTAGAAGAGGGATATGTATTTTACATACTTTTAAGCCCCGTGAATCGCAGCGACATTGTCACAGAACGTTAGAGTTCTTATAGAAAGATTTTTCTTTTGAAAAGTAAAAAATTTTAGCTTTCTTTTCCACAGAAATATACAAGTAATATTTTAATCATACACTTAGATAATAACTTTTTGACACGCTTAATTTACAAAGATAGTATTGTAAATCAATGTAATGTTTCGATTGTATTTTAGGCAGTTATTGATATTGATTTTCACTTATTGATATTGATTTTCACGTGGTTTTTAAATATCTTGATACATTTCAAACAATATGGAAAATTCAAATTGTGCATTTGAGTATTTTCTTTTTAAGACAATGATTCCATCAAAATTATATTTTTTATTCGATATTACAATTACTTATTATGCATTTGAGTAACCCCCTTTTTTTTTATTGTGATGATTATTTTCAAAATGCGAAGAAGGAAATATTTCGTGCGTAAAACCCCTCCCCCAAAACAACATGCAAGAATATCACCCATAATATTAGAATAAAGAATTATTACATGCTCAACTAAAAAAATTATAGTTTTTTATTTTTTCAGAAATTCAGATCAGAATTTTTTCACATATTTAGAATTTTCTGTTCCATTCCATTCTCTTCATTCGGGAGAAGGGCCTCTCAACATGAAATTTCATAAATACACTAAGGCGAAGCGGTATGTTAAAGAATATTTATATTAGTTGGGCATGTGAAGTAGGTCACTCATGATTTAACCTCTAGCATAGATGATTTTTATCATATTGGCTGCTTAACTTTTAAAGCTTTATAGTATATCATTTAAAATATTTATTAACTATTTCTAAAGACATTTTCATTAAAACAACTAGTATAATAAATTTACATGCATGGGAGTTACACGCGAAAAATAAAATAAGAAACAACTAATAAGTAATTATAGACCTGTTATAAGCACAACAGGAAAAATAAAATCTTTCTTTTTTTATAAAAGCTGGGCAGTTGGGCCTCTATCAAGAAACCTTAATTGTAGAAAATATTAAAAAGAGTCACAATACAAAATATTAGTGCTATAGTACAAAAAAATATTTGAAGAAACTAACATATTAACTACATTTTTAATGCACGTTATATCTCTTACCTTTAATTTCATCATCAGTTGAAAATCTAAATATTTTTTCTTCTTGTTTTTTGAAGTAAATTGACTTTTTAAAAGACACCTGAAGAGAGTGTCTTACTTTAGAGTAATCATCGAAGTTCTTTAAATCTATATTGTTATCCTTACTGTTCCTAAAGTGCCAGTCCTGAAAATAGCATTAAAGAGATTATTAATAATTTAAAAATAAATATACATGTTATACTGCACTTCAAATCAGAGAATATACCAAATATAACATCAAGTTGTAAGATGTAACACTTGCCTGCTAAATTTTTGAAGGAAAAAAAAAAGATATTAATTTTTTACAAGCAACAATATTATCATTATTTTGGTTAATTTTAAATAAGTTAACCATAAATGGTAAATTTTTTTTACATCAAACTATTTTAAAAAAAGACGTAGTAAACCTTTTATTTCTATTTTCTTAAGCACCATTTTAATCAATGTTTTTCATTTCTCTTAAAAGAAAAGATATCAAGTGTAAGAAAAAATTTTGATATTGTATATAACTTTTTTTGTAGATTTTGAAGCGCTGAAAGTGTCATTTATGTTAATGTGCTTTTATGATGCACAAGAGAGGAAAAAAAAAAAAAGACTGCACTACCTATGATGTTCCAGTGGTGCAAAATGAAAGCACTTGCATCTTTCTCTTGTGAGATATTATGAACATACTTGCCATCAGCCAGAATTTTATTTACATTATTATATTTTTTTCTTTTTATCCAATTTTGGGTGGTGACCTTATTTAATTTATGAAACATAAATAGAAATGCAAAATAAGAAGGAGAATATTCTCTATGATTTTGCAAGTAAAGAATTAAAAACTGAAATTATTAGAGATTGAACATTACAGAACCCGTTATCCGGAAATCAGTAAACCGGAAAACCAAAAAACCGGAACGAAATTCGTAAAATTTTCGCGCCATTTTTTTTTTAAAAAAAATGTTTTTTTCCTCATAAGATTTTAGGATTACCTTACCATCATTTTGGAAATAATCATTAGCGTATTACTTTGTTTTTTAAAGATTATTTCCAAATATATATATTTTTTTTAGTTGGATTTAACAATTAAAAAACGGCTTTTTGTAGCGATTCAGAAAACCGGAAAAATCAGTTATACAGAATAGTGATGGTCCCGATCGTTCCGGATAATCGGTTCCCTACTGTACAAATCTGATACAACTGCCAATAAAATTAATAATGCAGTAGAATTTTGATTGCTTGTTTCTGATTGGACCATTCAATAGCAACGACAGATACAGGAACAGCAAATTTGGGTCATCATAAAATGTCAAATAAAGATTCGAAGTAATGGAATTTAATATTAATAAAATTATAATAAGTGTTAACAAATTTTATTTGAAATAATTATGTACTTATTGCAAAAATATAAATAAGTATTCAAAAATATTATGAAATTTTGGTTTAAACACGCTATACTTCTCAGAGCAAATATGAGACATCTTTACATTTCATTCAAGCTTCCGACATTAGTATGAGATATATGTTTTCATTTTCTGTACATTTGTGTGAATATGGAAAGTGCTTCTTTGTTTAGAAAGCTTTGAGGCTGTCCATAAATGTTGACACTGGTTGTGGTACATTTCACTACTTTGTGGTGAACACTTTGCATCTTCAGCATCTACAACTATTTCTTGAATTGAAAACTGCACAACATTTCATGAACTGGATGCATAAACATCAAGCATGATATTTTAGATATTTTCACCTAACTGTAAGAAATCGTCATTTTCTTCTTCATCATAAGCGTCAGGTATTGCCCTTTTTCATCTCAGAAAGAAATTTTCAATATTCTTTTTAAAAGTCGCAGAATTTTTGAATGATTCGCGAATCTGCAAGTTTTAGTATAAATCTAAATGTGATCTTGTAATATTAATAGATAATCATCTATTAACATTACAATAATAGCATTTTGGATGAGGCTGACAACCTTGACAATGTATACAGGAAACTGAAATATACAGGAACCTTAGATTGAGATTCAAGTGTATCACTGTAGAAATCGCTTTCTGCCATTCAACAACAATAGATATGAAAGGAAAAAAAATTATCAAGCATTTTGTTTGTATTTAAGCAGTTTCTCATAAGCAATATTTAGACATAATGACTAGATATGCTTCAAAAAGAAAAAAAAAATAGAAGTGATGAGGGTCATTCAGACATTTCCTTTCAGTTTGATAAATGTCACAAATGTTCTAACAAACGATTTATAAATGTCACAAATTTCTCAATACATATCATGCAATATGTAGATTTTTCCCCATAATCATTAATAAAAACGTTAACTATTTCAAAGAAAAATAAAGAATAAATAATGAAAAAATATAATAATTTTATTGCTAAACCTTAATTTAAATATTTTGATTTAAACATATAAGGTTGAAAATCAAGGAATTTAGTTCAAATTAATTATAATTAAGAAATTTAAAAAAAGTATTTTAAAAGACAATAATATACAGAGACAAATATTTTAACGCAAAATTTTCTATTTATGAAAGAAATCTATTGCCACCTTTTTTATATAAATGTTAAACTTTTCTCCGCTGTGATAAAATTAAACTTATGGGAACCTTATAAACGTAATTAAAAACATTTTTAAGAAAACTTTGCAAATAACATAAAAAGCAAAAATAATGACTTTTAAAATTACAGACAAAAAAAATTTACAACTAAATAATGATGACCAATGACCTTTAGGAAGAGAAATACATACACTTTCCTATTGCACCACTGGGACATCACAATAAACTGCAATCTTCTTCCCTCTGATTACTGCAGCTTTAAATGTTTAAATTTTTACCTTGAACAAAGAACAGGTATATAGTTAGCTGTTATATCTACATACCTTATACATTTTTAGTTGATTCAAGTCGGAGTATTTTGATACATGAGATAAATCAAGTTTAAAAATCATCTTTTCAGGATCAATCCATTCCAGATGTTGCAGATATTTTCCATCTCTCAGTGCCTCCATAATAAAAGATCTTAATTCAGACACTTTCTTACCCATCCTCTACCTTAAATAAAAAAATAGCTAAATTATATCGATATTTACGCTTAATATCTACCCATTATGTAACATTAGGTACTAACGCCACCGCAGCAGAAGTTGCACTAATGCGCCAATAAAGAGCAACCCTGTTGTTCGCACACAGTTATCTTTTGGATTCCTTGTTGTTTGCTGATTTTTGACGCCATTTTTTAGAGCGACAAAAATTCGTCTTAGGGATTTGCCAACATTCAGGATTGGGGGAACTATGCTAAACGATTCGGGAAATCTATGTTAAACTCTATATCGGGCCATTTTCCACCGATCCGATTGACTACTTTGATTTTAAATAAAGTGTTTTATTTTATGATTTGTTGCAAAAATTTTAGGTGTAGATTGGCGGCACATAAAAACCGTCAAATCTGTAGCTGTGGTGGCGTTAATACGCAAGTACCTAATATTGTTTAGATTGACAGCTAATCACATTGCAGAAGATAAAAAGCCATAACAGATGTCTCCTTCAGGAAGAAAAATTATTTGCAGAGCCTTGATCATCAGGCAAACAGTTATTTTTTCTTCTTGTTAATTCATATCAAAATCAACATGCTCACAAACAGTGGTGTAAATCTGGAGACTGAAATTTATCCGAAGTTTGACAGGTAGCCTAGTTTGTATTTGTTGCAAGATAGCACTTCAAAGTAATTCTAATGTTCAGTCTGGGTCTAATGGTGTGAAACTTGAATGAGAAGGGATGTCAGTATGAACTATGGCATTCATCAATCAGATTGCTTATAGGTACTTAGCTGTGTCTGAGAGTGTTCATTAGAGTATTTGCAAATAGGTTTTAGTATGTCCTTAAGTATGTCCACAAAAATATTGTTCTGATTCACATAATTTTGAACGTTAATAGAGCTGTTACCTTGCATTTTACTATCATTGTCAGAAAGATTATCTATTTCTCAGATGAAGTATCAGCATTATACGAAAAAAAGATTATATAAATATATATTAATACCTTAAAATAGCTCTTACCAAATCATTATAATAAATTAGTTGATTTTTTTTTTCTGTACATGAATATATCTAAAAACTCCTTATATTTTTTCCCCTGTGGAATACATAATTGTTTTTACTTATTAACTAACACTAACTAAAAATTAGCATGACTTCAGAAGAACAAATATTAGGATTTGGGGAAGAATTTTAAATATCAGTTAATGAAAGGTTTAGAAAAACTTTAAAATGTATCATATGAAGAAATTTAAAAGTTTTGGAAAATACTTGTTTAGCAAAAAAATAAAAAAAATTATTTTAATAGACTTTAGGATGTGAAAAAAAATATATATATATAATATTACTATGCAAAACATCTTACCTATTTCTGTCTAAAACTTGATTATAAAATATTGCAAGGTGTTCTGTGCCCCATACTATAAAACAACCAAGTCAAGCAACCAAACTTCAAATATCAAATGAAAAAATTTTTTATCTAATTACACAGGACTTTTTCCTTTTTTTTTTTACTCCAGCTATTTCTTCTTACTTTAGACTTAAACTTATGCTGAAGGCAACTTATACGTGGGCCACGATTTCTGCATTTATAATTGTTCCGTTTTACAACTACATTTCATTGTTGTACTGCTTTTTAGTGTTTTGTTTAAATCACATGTGTCTTTTACAACTTAGTTTCGAAAAGTTATCCATGGCGGATCCTGCTCCTAAATAGTTGCTTCAAAAATATCACAGAAGGTGACAAACTCGACTGTTAAAATTCTTAGCCGCCACTAAGAAAAACACTTAATAAATACTTTTCAATTTATTGGATTATCTATTAATTTATTTTTAATTTATTGAACCTTGGTGATAACAATTGGCGCGACCAGAATACATTAAGGTTACATCTTAAATCTAATTGTAATAGCAAAGTTTGGTTGCACTCGACTCGGTAATTCAAAGTAGAGCGATTTAAACATCTCACGGTACTTTATGATCATTCTCTATATTTACTGCAGATATCTCGGATCTGCACGAAATTGACCCTGTAAGAAAGAAGATTTTTGTAAGCGAATACATATTTTTATACGGGCAATAATAAACACGACAGCCCATGTTGTGGTGGTTTGCATGTACAATGAAAACTGCAACATTTTTAATTTGTTTAGTAGAAAATTTTTGAAAAAAAAAAAGAACTTGATTTTTCTAATGCAATCTATTACATATTTTTGATTAAAAAAATAACCAAAATTTAAAATTATTAAACAAACATTAAAAAATATTGATTTTCTTATTTAAAAATTTAATTGATGAGCATAGTGAACTGGTGAGCATAGTGAATTGATGAGCATAATGAATTGATGAGAAAAGTGAATTGATGAGCATAGGGGTGTCAACTCTTTAGTCAATTTGAGATTTATAAACGAAACTTCACGTTTACCAAACAAAATATACATATACATAGTCAAAACATGTTGAATTATACTAAATATAGCTAAAGGGTTAGCTTTAAAATTAATGATGTAGGTAAATAACTGACGCACCAAATAAAAATATTTTCCTAATGAAAAAAATTAAATTGCAATTAATTTCATTGAAGCAGAAAACTTGAGACAATACAATATTTTTTTGAAAATTTACAATTCATTGGCGGTTTATTTTTAATTTTTAAGGCAGGTTATTTTATTAACTATGTTAAATGATAGTCGATTGACATAAAAACTGAATTTATTGGGGAATTGCAAAATCATATTTAATTTCTTCCAATTATTTTTTTCCAAACCCTCCAAAAAGATTGTGCACTCCTAGCTTAACATAGTTTTTCAGAGCTCTTTTGCCAAATAAAATAAAATAAAATAAAACTTGAAGCAAAGCTATAATTTCAAACTGCATATACCATCTTGCCATGAAGAATTATCAGTGTTTTAGAATGAAAAAATAACTTAAATATTTTGAAAGTTTTTAAAAATTGCAAATTTGGCAACATTTTTTCCCTTATCAAAACCACTGCCTTATTCTCAGTTTTTGCTAATTTTTTATAATATGGCATTAGAGTAAGTTTTTAAATATTAACAATTTAGACCACAAATGATTTTCATTTTCACAAAACTGTGGCTTTTCTTCACCACTTTTAGAATAAGCATACAGAGCACTGGCCATAGATAGGCTAAACTTGTCTTAACTGTCATGAGTAACTGTTGCAAACTTACAAAGGTTATGAAAATTGCAAATTATTTGCAAAAAAGCATTTCATATAACAATGGAGGATTTCTTATGAAAAAAAAAAAATATTAGGACTTGAGAGAAAAAAAATTATATGAGGGGAGGAGAATGTCTGGCATAGTATAAAATTATATGTCGCTAAATGTATTGTTTTACAACAATTATAGCTAATATAAATATAATAAAATAAAAAATTCCAACAAGGTATATGGGTCTTCACATAGTAGCAATTTTGTTCTTGAGAAGTCAAAAGAAAATTAAGCAGTAATTACAAATACCCAATCAAAAAAGCACCTTTAACGGCTTTTAAAAATTGAAAATTAAAAACTTATAAAAATGAAACATGCCCAGAAAACAAATAAAAAATATAACTGAATAATAATAATAAATAAATAAATTTTAATCTTGTACAGATAATATTAAAATGAAAATTTCAGTTTTCCTCATAATGTCCCCAAAGCTTTAATCATTAATATATAATATAAAACTTACTTCGTGATAAACCAGTTTTATAATTTTGTAAAAATGATTTTATTGACAAATCTAGTTTTATGATATTAATTTATGCATAAAAATTCACAACAACCTTCAAAATATTTTTGTTAAAATTTTGAAAATTTTAAGGTTTTAAAATTTTGCTAATTTTTCTACTTTTTTTATTTCTATCTTTTAATTTAATTGAGTGATTTTCAAATAGTGATGTAACGAATAGCCGGATATTCGGCTAAATTTTAGGCCGAATACCGAATATTCGGTGGCCGAATACTTACTTTTAATTTTCAAATTTTAAATTAAAAATGAAATAAATATTAACAAAATTGCTTTTTTAATCTTTGTATATTTAAAAAAATTTTAACAACTTGATTTATTTTTTGTAATAATTTAAATATCTTGATGCCAATAACAAGGCAATATGGCTTTTATAAATCTAAATAATTANTTATGTCTCTAAGAATAGGTCAAATACCGAATAGTGGCCGAATATTCGTTACATCCCTATTTTTAAATTATTTGCTACTGTTATTAAATAAGCTGATTTCTTAGACCTTTGAAATCATAACTATAGAGAATTGTAACAAAATCTTTCGGATCATCCTCAGGAATAATTCCCAGTCGTCAATAGCCCATTGTGCAGCTCTAGTGTGAAGTAAATAAAATACCTACCTACCTATAACTAAATTAGTTTAGAGTCATGAGATAAAAAAAGTCCTTCCATAATTTTTTTTTTAAATATTATTTTTGTCTTGCCAACAGCTGTTAGACACACATTATTCATTTAAAAACAAGAACTAAAAAAAATCGTTAAGAAAAACATTCATAAAACAGTAAAATTAAAACGATACTCATAATTGGTTCTTCATCTGTTTTGTCATCAGCGTAATTTTTCATTTACACTTTAAATAACTGGAAACCGAAGTAGGATTTATCTTGTCTTTGACCTTTCAACGTGTTCAAAACCAATTTTTAGATGAAAGTGGGCCTTTTTGCTCAGGAACAGAGTTTTGATTTTTCTCACTCAAGTTGATCAAGTACGTAGCTTTGATACAAGTTATATACACACTTTAAAGTCAAAAAATTAAAAAAAAAAAAAAAAAAAAAACATGCTGAATACCAAAATACACTCTCCACATTGCTAGTTTTAAAAATCAAATTTTTCCCATAGTAGAATGCGGTAATTAATAAGTGCAGATTATTTAAGTTACACAAAAGGTACTTTCGATGAAAAAACAGACATTCCTTTTATTAGTGACCCACAATCTGTAAAGTATGATTTTAATGGGGGGATATTTCCCTATTGTGATCTGGAGCGCCAACTACAATCGCCAAGACGCCAAATAAATTATTTTAGACTTGAAATTTAAAAAAAAAAAAAACATTTAGATGTTTGCTTGGGATGGTTAATAGTTATTACCTTTCAAGTTGGTACTTTTCTAAGATGCTCTTTTTTTTTTAGTTTCTCGCGTGGTGCTGCCAAGACTTTGCGATCATTCTGCCATAGATCAAGATATGGAATTTTCCCCCATAATAGTTTATGCAGAAAAGCTATCTTAAATTTGAGCTCCTAACTGTAAATTTCACCTTTTGCAAATTTTGGCATATTCCCAGAACTTAATCTGAAATTTTTTATATGCAATGACCTTTCGATAAAACTTATATCAAAAGGTTATTTGAGGTTATAAGTTATTTTTATAACAATTTTTAATTATTTAATTTATTTATAGTCTTTAAAATTTGTAGAGATCTGCTTGAGTAATTCTTATAAAACAAAAATTATTAAAAAAATATACTCTACCTATATCTATTCGACCTTTTACATTCAAATTTCGTGTTCTAAATTTCTTTTTTCTAAAATTATTTTTCTTTAAAAATTGTAATGCAATACAACTGAATACAATAGAATTTTTGACCATTAGTAAATGAATAAAAAATTATTAAAAATAAATTTGAGCAAGCTCAATCTTCAGATAAACAAAATTTATAATTGTAGGCTTTCAGATAAAAATCTTTCCAAACTGATAATTAAAATCTTTCGGTTCACGAAAAAATCTTACGGTAGCATACATAGACTTAGATGCGCCCCCTAAAAAAATTATAAATTCATCCTCTCATAGACTTAACACAAATTTTATAAATTATAATATGAGATAACAAAACTATGAAGAAACATTCGGGATTGTCAAGAGGTCAAAAGTGTTAGGTTTTTTAAACCTTGGAAATTCGTAGTGATAACTACATAAAAAAAGCGAGCAAAAGCCTATATTGATTTAGATTTGGTGAGTTCAAAAACATAAATGCGCAAATTCGAAATTTCAGATTTTATTTTTTTGCAAAAGAAATATATTACTTTTT